AGGGTCGCAACTGGTGCACCAGGCGAACCTGTGCAAATGCCCCCCTGGTCACAGGGTGCCGGTCTACTGTTCTTGTTTGCGAATGCCTGTGAATAAAAGTTGGTTGAGTTAACTTATCTCAGACGCCTCCCGCCTGGTTCTTCTAGGGAACTTAACAGATTACAATTCATATATTGATAGGTTATCTTCTGAAAATCTTGGAAAATGAATTCAAATGTTTCTCTCTCATCACACACACAGAGGTCTTGCTACAGACATCTGCAGATCTTTGTCTAAGCATTTCCACTTTCTCTTTTATACCAGCTTCATCCCTTCCTTGGAAACTCTGAGTTCTATAATAGATCCATAGCTGGAGTCTCTCTGGATGAGAAGAGAGACCTGACAACGAACCTGGACATTGTGAACTGGCTGTTTCACAACAAGACAGTTCAGAGAATGACATTTGGAAGTCTAGAAAAAAAGGGTCTCTGGATTTCAAGTTTAGGTTGTATTCAAAGAAAATGGCAGAGATGATAAGCTGAACAAGGTGGGGAAATGCCTTTATTTCTGTCTTTATTTTTTAATCTCTTACCAACAGGATTGATTTCTTGGGATGGTGGTTGCGAATATCATTTACATTTTCCAGGAAACAAATCCTTTCATTAGAAATCAAGCTATCTATGAGAAATATGTCCTTAAACATTTAAAGAAACTATTCACTAATCTTCTCTAAAGGGAGATATATTTGAACCAGGACATGTGTGAGTTCATTCTCCTAAAGGAAAAAAAATCCTTTAAAACTTACCTCAAACAATTTAATCTTTAAATTAATAAACAATCAAAAAATGAAAGTGCATGAAATATTAGAAAGAAAGTATAAAAGGGAAGCAACAAGCAAGCAAGCAAGCAAGCAAATGGTTGAGTTCTTTATATAGGCTTCAAATTTATCAAAGTTAAACCTTGAATTGGAGATCACCAAGCTCTTTCTCCTTTGCCCGTTTGTGGAAAATAAATCATACATCATTTTTTGGGATGGCCTTCCTCCCTCTGCTCAGCTCCCGCCTCCTTCCAGGTGTGTAGAAAGTTGCCATCCTGGATTCATGAAGGTGACTCAGGAAGGGAAGCCCATCTGCTGCTATGACTGTCTTCCCTGTGCAGAAGGAACCATCTCCACCATGGAAGGTGGATGGCACCAGAGGAAAGGGGCAAACTTTTCTTTCTAGAAAGAAAAGCATGCCTTTTATGCTCTGGTTTCCAAGTTGTCTTCTGTAGCATCTGGTTGGGTACTTTCNAACAAGAACAGTAGACCGGCACCCCCTCCCTGTCTGACAGCTATTTATATGGAGCTGTCAGACAGGGAAACCAATAGCCGCGCGTTTGACAGCCCAGCAACCGCAGGTCGTGCCTGATTGGTTCCGGCGCGCCTGGCTGTTGCCGAGCTGTTATTCGTAAGTCCGAGGACTTAACATCTCTTCTGCCCCAGTGAGGGCGCATGCGTCTAGAGTGGCGCATACATACTCTTGCAGGTAGGCGAGTGGACGGCGGACATGCCCAGAATGCCTCAGTTGAAGAGGCGGCGGCGGAGAGTGAAGACGTCCCCGTGAGACCTCCTCCCTGGAGGGAGTGGAGCTCTGGGTGACGTCACTGCGGCCTAGACCAGGAGGCGGAACCCTAGGAGAAGGCAGGCCGGGCAGAGGGGGTGCGGCTGGAAGAGGCGGGTGATTTTGGACAGGCTGGTAGGCGGCCAGGGGGTGGGAAGGGCCTGACAAGGGAAGGCCTAACTGGGCGGAAGAAGAAGGTAATGCGAAGACGGATTGAGCTGTTGCTGGGGGCTGCGGCAACCCGGCAGCTGGGCAGGGGTGGCTGACTCCAGGAAGGCCAGCGATGGAATGGGGCACTGGAACTGCGGCGGATCCGGGGCAGGCTGCAAGACGTCGGCGGCCGGCCTCTTCGTGTCGGTTTGACTAGACGCCTCCAGAGGGTGGCGGCGCCTCAGTTGATCCAGGTGGCGCCGCCACTCGCTGCCATCGGGTAGGTGGACCCTGTAGGAAACGGGGCCGGTTACATCGGTGACGGTGGCAGGCACCCACCGAGGGTCCCCCGAGTAGTTACGGGCCCAAACCAAATCCCCAATAGCAAAGGAACAGGAAGAGTGCCCCAGGTTGCCAGGTTGAAGTCCTGAATACAGGGGGTATAGTCTATCCAGGGTGGTCCGCAGGGGGCCGACCAATCAACAGCTCCGCGGGGCTTTGCCGCATGAGGGGGCAAGGCGTGGAGTGCTGGGCCAACAGGTAAGCATCCACCCTTGCCTGCCAGTCGCCACGGTTCACGCGGCCCAAAGCCTCCTTGGCCGATTGGACCGCCCTCTCCGCCCAGCCATTGCTGGCCGGATGGTAAGGGGCAACTGGAGCATGACAGCTCCGTATAAATAGCTGTCAGACAGGGAGGGGGTGTATTTGTATTTTGTATTTTGTATTTGAAATTTATTTATAGGCCGCCCTTTTCCCTGGGGGGACTCAGGGCGGCTCACAACTAATGGGGAGGGGGATACAAACAATAACACACACACACACAAAAAAGCAATACATAAGTAAAAAAAATAAAACACAACATTCATACCATTCGGGTGGGGGTGAGGTGAATGGTTTCTCAGGTGCAATCTAGTTC